TTTGGTACTAAATAACTACATATGGTATGTACATATGTATGCTACATATGTTCGAGTTCCGACCAAACTAATTGGTTTTCATAAAATCAACACCCAAGCACTTGCTCTGACCTATAAATTCCAATTTGTGATACACGATAACTATGGAAGCGAAGCCTGCTTCGGGGGCCGTAAATACAGGGCTTTCATTTTGCTAGTACATTTGAATTTTGGTATAGAAACATATATGTATGTATTATTAACATTCAAATTTTAAAAATTCAAGCACATACAATTTTGTAATCACACCGAAACGAAGCAATAAAATGTGTCTTTCCAACAATCACCTGCATTAGACGACAAAACGTAATGGCCTATGCGCATTATCTATAAAAATATATGATACATAACTATCTCTACTGAGATTTAAAAAAACTAGTGTAATTTATTGGCTGTTAGTTAAACTAGTACTAATTTTAAAATATTATATATGATACCACAACCCACTTTGCCTCAAGGCTTTAACGATTTAGTACGTACCTATTTAGCACCTCACAAACGCATTATGTAAGCATTATAGAATTCGTGTATGACATTTTCACGTAGACTATACAATTAGTGTATATTTGTTTTTCCTGTATTTAAATACAATTCGAAACGTACAATATGTAGTTTTTTTTGACAAAGGAGGATGGTATAGATAGGGATTCACTTGTTCTAGGCAACCCAGTCTTATTTAATTTTGATTCGTTGTCGGCCTATTTTTGGGTTCACAACTGAAAAACTAATATGCAATAAAATGGTTCGTAATTATTACTAGGAACAAGGCAACAAAAGGTGCTGGATGGAATTTTTATTTTTCAAAAATTACTCAAATAATGAGTGAGGCTACAGAAAGGAAAGTCAGCAGTTCGGCACACATGTAAAAAAATCATTGATGCCACTTCAAACAAACCGTGTGGGATGATGCTTAACCTTTGAAAAAGAGCCCTCACAGAGTTGCATTGTCATCGTAGAAAACCTGAAAACGTGCTAGACAAGTTACGTAAGATATCTTCAAGTGACGCAAAAGATTTAAAGAGATCTACTTAAGAGTTAAAGGCGGATAAAATAAAAGAATGCATTTCATTTCTTTATTTATAGAAGGGTTATTTGCTGTACGACTTTATTTAAAATGACTAGATAAATTATTAATATTTCATACCTTTTTGAGACATTAAGTTTTTTACTTTGATCAAATCTTTACAAAAAATAATGGTTTCGAAATGCGAGAAATGGCAAATTTATTGATCTACAGAGATAGTTGCTTAGTATAAGATTAATAGATTCGATGTTTTGAAATTGGAATACTAAAGACGGAACACTAACATGTAGATATATGGTATACGCACATAGAGACCGATGTTAAACAAAATAGTTACAAAACCACAACGGTAAGACAAGTTGCGGAGAATACATACTAAGTATTATATGTGATAGGAACTTCAACCACAGCAGACATCTGACACGCCTACCGGATTCCATAGCAATCGGGCGTAAATTTTTTAATAAGCACAAAAAATAACTTAGAAGAAACGATTTAATCAGGTAAAATATCTTAGTAAGATACAGAATAACATCGTCTCCGGGGGACAGGCGTCCATATTTAATATCCATTTCTATACTAGCAAGCTTAGTATATACTGTATTTGAATTTTGAAGAAACTTCAATAGATTTATGCCGTCTAGCGTACTTAAAATAACTGACCTCGATTTTAAGAACGATAGAGTTGACCTACCTCAACATATAAATATATAACCTATAATAAATAGGCTGTTTCACCAAATACACAGTAATTAGCCTCTGCGCGGGTTTTAAAGAGTGAATAATTTCGGTCGCAAAATAAAATATTTCTCCGCTCTCTATAACGCATACATTATAGCTCGACACAATTGTTTAAGCGATTCTTTTCTAGCCAGGTCAACGAATACGGAAAGCAATAAAAAACAATAGAAGGTCAGGGAGAATTTAAGAGTTTTATTGTAGCATGTTAATGTAATTTTCTTTTTTAATTTTGGATAGACTCTTTACTTAAGCACAATACAATATTTTGCTTAATTATAATTATGTCTGGTGTGCATCAGAAATAATTACAACATTCCGGGTAAATACTTTCGGTGCAACTTTAAGAGATTTATAGTAAGAATTATTAGAAGTCCTGAAGATAGAATGGTATGGAGTTATAATCACGTAATATTAATATTGTAGAAATAAGTTTCTCTATTTTTCCTTTATTATGTTTTATTATATAATTCTGTCCATGAATAATTCCAAAATAAACATGTATTATTATTTTTATTGCAGACTAAACAAACATGACAGGTTTATCTCACAAATTGCTGACCCAGATACCTGCGCATGGCAACAATGTCAAAGCTTTTACTTTTTTAATTTTGCCACACGGTGCTACCCTTTGTGCCTTTACTAACAAAATGTGTTTCTGTATAGAGTATTGTGATATTTATTTTTATAGAAATACTAAGATACCATTATTCGTAATAATTTACGTTATTCAAATATTTCTAAAGTGATACAGAAACAAACAACCGTTATATTGATTTTTTTTAATAATAATTGTCTTGAAAGGGTGAAACAAAAGATTCCCATTTCATTTTGTTTTGCTTCAGCAATATTTGTACAAATCCTCTCTATGGACGCCAGTTGAAGGGTGAAACAAGTTAACATCATTTAATTTATTCAACGAAGCCATGGCATGGAAAAATCCTATTCATGCATTTAACATGCTTTCTGATGCGTGAATTTTCATACGCCATATAAAATTATGCGTAGTCTGAACATTGTTTTATACTTTCAATGCATTTTATTATAATTTTATATATAAAGTTAGAATATTTTAAACTTTTATTTTAAGGCAAGACAAAACTCATATTATATCCCCCTTAGTGTTTCTAATATGATAATATTTTTTTAATGAAAAAAACTGTGTAGTAATGTGCTTACAATTAATTCTACTAGTTTTATTATTATTAAATAGTATTCTATTATAAACTTTCTATTTGTTATGATACTGCAAAGTATCATAATAAATAGAAATAATCTAATCTTTCAATAGTCATACATCTAAGATGAATACACGGCTAACAAACATGAACATACTAGAAATAACAGTTTATTTCTAGTCTGACCTTAAGGCTCAATTGGCCCTAATTACCCCTACAGAAATGAAGCACTTCGTATACCAATGGGGTAATGATGCCTTGATTGGGAAATAGAGTTCAATAGTGTCTACTGACATTAAATGCCAAAGAAACATTCTATATGATGCTGTGTACTTCAACTTCATGTAATTTGATAGTTTATAAATTGCTAGTGTATTCGAAGTTACAAAAAACAGAATAGTTTCTACAACTCTTACAAACTGTATTTAAAGTTATTTTAAAATATGCCATAGATATTTCAAAAAAAATATATATAAAAAGACCAAACATTGTGGGCAATATATAATGAATATAAAACATGATGTATGTAATAGTTTGTCTATCTGGATGGTATATTTGTCACCAAAACACTATGACTAATTAAGTTTCATACATATTGATCTTTACACATTAAAATGGTAAATAAGGTTACACTCTAGTCATTGTTCTACATACATGAACTTGACACATGAGTATTATTTTAAATTTGTTTTATCATTCCAAATACCAATCAAAAAAAGAGAAAAAAATAAATTATTGTAATCTACTAAATTACATAGTAAAAAGTCCCTTATTTCAACTGAGTGTAGAAAACAATATAATATCTAACAATCATATGACAAAGTAGAATAAAGATACTCCCCTTTCTTAATTTTAAAGAGTAGCATATGTTACAAGAAAAATCAGCAAAGCTTGGAGATATTTACCAATATAATCTTAATTCAAGGGTAGCGTCAACGTGAAGTACGTATTACAGGGCCTTAGAATATTAATACAAAGAAAATAAATTAAAAATGACTTACCAAAACGTTTCAATACACTGATCGATGCTAAAAAACAGCTCGGACCATCGCAATACAAGTATATACGTGGGAACACTTAATTATTTTTCGAAAATCCTATTCAAAATATAATAAAAATAATACTTTTAATCCTTAGGCACTTGGTTCGATTAACGTGACTTGAAGTATTGCTTAATTGTACTGAAGAGTAAATTGTGATTTTTGTATAAAAAAAATATAAATGACCGTTTTATGGGATTTCTTTAAGATCAATAATATATTTAGAAGAATACGAAATCTTTCTTAACTTATTATTTAAGAGATGTATTTTCCCGTGTGTGCTATTTATCACACCATGAAAAAACAAAACGTTTCTGACTGAAAGGCCTCGGAAATGATATTGAACCACAGTCTACCAATGCTCCTAAACCCACTGTCACTGACTGATTCAGACAGTCGCGGTTGTCTGCTGAATGTGACCGCATAAGAAACCACAGACGATAAAAATCAATGTCTTAATAATTAATACAAGTGCTATTCAATGATATATCAAATACTGATAATTTTGAAAAATTAACAGTACATATGTCCCATATATTACGTCTAAAATAATTACCAGAATAAAGTTTTTATGCAATTTTTTTATTTTATAAGCAACTTGAAAGGCTAAGTTTCAATTCGATTTGTACGCATTTTCTATTAGTCTGTGGACACAAATGTCTACATATCAATACGGCAACTGTATCTGTGGTCCAGTTAACGAACGTTTTGAAAGTTAGAAAAGTGGTTCGAATTAATACTAATAACTTTAGTGCTTTATTTAAATTTTTACCGTTCTCTATTATCTAATGTTATTTAATTAGCCTCTATCATACACTTTAACCGTTGATGTTCAAAATCTTAAATTTGTGTAATCTGTAAACCAATATTTTCGGAATGTGTGATTTTGGAGAAAAGCCACTTTTATTCATGGTAGAAGAACGCTTAAAAACATTTAAGAATTGGCCATTTACCGATAAAAATAAGTGCAACATCAGCAATATGGCAGAAGCTGGATTTTATTCTGTTGCTACTGGTCCTAAAGACGCTGATGCTGCAAAATGTTTCCTGTGTGGTAAAGAACTTGACGGTTGGGAATCTAATGATGATCCATGGGAAGAACACAAGAGTCATGCTCCTAAGTGTGCTTTTGTACAGCTCGGGAAAAAAGAGAATGATCTTCTAGTATGTCTTCTATTATAATACAATTTAAATATTTAAAGCATATTATACAATTAAAATCGTTTTTTTAGCTTCCAGAGTACTTGTCAATAGTCAAGCAATATATAATAAATCATATTAAAGAACTGGTGGAGCAAAGCAAGGAAATAATTGATGAAGAGGTGAACAAAAGTAAAGTGGACATGTATGGAAGAATAATATAATAGTCAAGTGGCATATAAACAGCTAATCAATGTGAAGTGATGTAATTATGTTATCTATACTGAATTAACATACACAAAGTTTTATAATATAGTGTGTAAAAATTTTTTAACATAGCTGATGTTAAAAGTTGTTATAACTGCAATAGCGCTTGTTGCATACCTATGGGTTAACCTAATACTTAGTATAAAAAAATGTATATAATATTAAATTATGAGTGCTTTAAGATTTACCAAACTATGTCAATAAATTGCTTGCTCCTTAACAACCAACCCAATGAAGCATGTCTTAGTTTTTATTTTATTAATAATAATAGTTTTGATCCTTATTAATAATATTAAAAGAAATGTGTTAATTCAGCCGTTCAGTGTCCACTGCTGGACATTGGCCTCCCCCATAGACTTCCAGTATAAGAAATGTGTATCTACATCAAAATAAAAGAAACGGGACCTTTAATGTCATTTAAATATTGTAGTCTTCATTTTGTACACAGAAAGAAGAGATGAAGAATTTTATTTTAATAATAACACAAGTTTTATTTAATTTAATTTGAATGTAACTAATAAAACATCAAGAGGAGTAATGATTGTTTATATGAATAATAAAATTATTTGAGAACAAAATCATTTGTTTTTTACTTATTCTTAAGATATGCTACAGATTACTTTTTCTAAACAGCAATATTCTCAATGAAATTTTTATTTTGTTTCCATAGCAACACATCGTTGTCATTAAACATACAATACAAAGCCAAAACATACTATTATTTTCTTATTACAATTTTTACATATTTTTATTTATAACAAAGGATCAACATGGATGTTAAGAGCTTAGAAGCATACTCAATCATTGGATTTGATGGTAAGCTTAAGACAATTCGACAAAGTTGAGATATGGTTGTCATCAACAATAAACCACTATTAACTCCGCACTTCAAAAATATTTATATCCTTAAATGCATTGTTTAGTATTAAGTTAAGCAGGAGAGAGAGACGATAAATAAATTACTTAGGTCGGGCATGGACTTTTCTTGCCTATATCTGGTCAGTGAAAAAAGTCACAGACACAATATGTATTCGCCCTATGCTCAACATGGGGAAACGGGAATTTTTTTTAAAGCAGGGTTGTTTTATCAGTCCCGGTGGTAACTCATACTATTTTAAATTTATTCTTTTTTCTCCGTGTAGAAATGTAGTATACCTACATTAAAACAAAATGTTCTACCAAATCTATGGTTTGATTTTTATGAAAACTTATCTTCTAGGATCGGCTATTCGAGGTCTAAAAGTACACCCCGATGGCGAGCATATTGTATATCCTATGGGAAATAAAGTCTGTATCCAAGAGTGGAAGACCAAGAAAATGTACTTTCTCAGTGGCCACACAAACAGTGTCTCCACTGTAGCTATTTCTCCGAAGGGAACCTATGTTGGCTCTGGACAAATCAATCATATTGGATTTAAAGCATCTGCTAAAGTGTGGGATTTTAAAAAGAAATCTATGGTTGGCACTCACGAACTTCATAAGGTAAAGAAGAAAAGGACGTTTTAGTCTTCCTTAAACTTTTTATATATACCCTAGAACGATTTAGGAAAGAGATGTAATAGTAGCACGTAATATGATTCTGGTTACTGAAGAAAAATATATCTCTGTAGTTTTTTTTTTTTAATGAGTTAACGTATTGAGCGCGGGGCTTCGAATACTAACCGGACGTTTGGGCGAGACCAAGGGTGCCCCGAGGGGGATTTCTGTAGTATGTACCTACTTATTTATAAATATCCACAAATGACAAATGCATTTCTACCCGAATTAATTTACACAATTCAATACACAGGTGCGAGTGGAAGCTTTAACATTTTCATCCGACGAACGCTACATGATATCTTTGGGCGGCAGGGACGACGGCTGTGTGGTTTTATGGGATTGCGTTGCTGGAGCAGCAACTGGAACAGCCGCGGCAGCAAGACTGACAACAGGCGACGCTGTTACTTTAACTTCGCTATCATTAAGGGCTAATTCCTTTGTAACGGGCGGAGATGGTTAGTAATGTGTATGAACTTAAAAGTGATCTAAAACAAACAAACACAGTTTGTATACCTAAACCGTTTTTTAAATTTTTGATTGGCTGGTTTGTTTCCGTCAGTCTTTTTTGAATAGCAATAATGTCAATAGAAATTAGAAAAAAAGACATACAAGATACCATGACTTTTCGTATCTATAGAGCCGTGTCTTTCGGCGTGTATTATCAAATTATCCGCGAGCGATTAGTGTTTGATTATAAAATTTCTGTCCACCTCGGCAGGAAACCTTCGAGTATGGAATATACGCGCGGCGAGCAAGAATTTGGACGTTGTTGATGTGAGTTTGGGAAAATTACGAAGAAGTGTCCGCTGTATTGCTGTCAGTCAAGACGATTCTTATGGAATAGCTGGTACCACGTGCGTAGTGATCATTGTAAAGCTGTAGATTATATTATTTAAAATATATTTGCGTTTCGGGACGAAGCTGTTTAACCTCCTATAATTTGTAATACGTATTTCAGATCTGGTGACATGATTAAGTTCTCAATCGGTTACCCATCTGACCCGATGATGGACGTGTCTCAATACAAGCCATCACTCTTGGGCTGTTTGGCCAAGTGCGGTCCATGGAAAAAAGGGAAGCGCCCAGAGTCGTTGTGTTACAGCCAGGGTATCTCTGCTGCTTATTTTACGCGTTCTTATGTGCTATCTTTATCCCCGTGGATAAGTTGTATGAGATAGACTGAAAGGTTTTTACTACCATCCAATTTTAATGATCGAGCCAAAATTGTTACTTAAATATTTTTTTAAAGACATGCTGTGCTACGAAGATACGTAAATACATACAGACAGAAAATAAAAAATGCGTTTTGCTACTCTATTCTTAATGTCCGGATCAATGTTTACATTTTTATTCAATTATAAATGTTCTAAAAACATAAAAAGCCTTTTATAGTGTTTGTACATAATTCAAGATGTGCTTATGCTTACCTTCTGATTTTATTAACAGGTATAGAAACTATAATTATTTTGGACGATGGATGCCTTGCAGTGGGTTCCGGTGATGGGACTATAGATATTTTAGACGAAATCAATTGGAAAGGAGATTTTCCCAAAGGCAAGATTGTAGATCCAAATAAGCCCCACTACAAAGCCGTAAGTTGGCCTTTTGGGTGTCAATAAAGCCTATTATCTTCTTAATAGACATTTAGCTATCCGTGACTTTTCATGTTATGAGGGTAGTTCACAATTAACTGTACTATATATTGAGACGATTGAAGCGTTATGAGCTATATTACGCCTTTTAAGGCGTTGTCTAAATAGAGGCTTACTTTCAGCTAAAATCTCTCAAATTACAAGGAAGTATAACATCTCTTGAATTGATGGAGACTCCTCAAATGCGCGGTGACAAGCGGTTGCTCTTAGCGGGTACAAGGACTAGTGAAATATACGCAATCAATGTGCGCACTTTCGAGCCTATTTTAGTGGTGACGTGTCCACGCTGCGCTATAAATAACATCGCATTTCCAAGGTTCTCTTTAGTTTTAAGCCATTATTCCTCTTTTTAAGTAATCGATGGACTAAGTACCTACTGAAGATCGGTTTAATTACTTCATTTCAAAGTACTGTGATTAAGAATAAATTAATGTTAAATAGAAGTAATTCATGATTTTTGTATTATGATAACGTAACTACGTCACCATTGTAAATACGTAACGCGTTGATTATTACAGAGGTATGTCCGGTGTGTTCGCAACAGCGGGTGCCGGCGATGTTCGTGTTTGGTGCGTTAAGACTGCGCAAGAGTTGCTAAGAATCGTAGTTCCCAATTTTATTTGTTCTTCAGTTCTCTTCTCTAGCGACGGGAAGTCAATCGTATCAGGTTTGTTACCTAGATTTTCTGGCGTAACAAATAATTTTTGTGTTTAATACCTTTTCTTACCAAACGAGATGCAAAGGGTATAAATACAGGAACATACGTCAATTTTTACACTGTCTCTCTTTTTAACTGTTTTGTCTTTTAAATGTTGTACATAAGTAGTTTCTTAATTTCAGTCGTATACCTATATGCTTTTTTTAAACCTTTACCTAAATTTTTAATAATAGTAACGGTTAAATCTAAAAAGAGTACTTAATGGACTATGACCTGACCCTAAAACTTCATCAGGTTGGAATGATGGTAATATCCGCGCTTTTACTCCTCTCACTGGTAGACTGATATACTGTATATTCAACACCCACAATAAGGGCACTTCGGCACTGGATATGACAAATGATGGGAGGACTCTTATTTCTGGTGGATGTGAAGGGCAGGTAATACATAATTATTTTTAAAGATTTATCTGTTTGCAATTTAAGTCATTATGGGGACTTCTATGTACTATCACACAATTGAAATAATAATTCTTCACATTAAACGTCTACTTATTTAGAATAAATCCCTTGATGCTGTCGACTTTTAGGTTCGAGTTTGGGATATAAAACCAGAATGTCAAAGTTTGAAAAAAGTCTTGAAGGAGCACAAAAGTCCAGTATCAGCAATTCAAGTTTCTCCCAATGATATGGAAGCGGTCAGCGCTGGCACCGATGGCTCGTGTATCATTTGGGACCTCGTGTAATAAGCTTTAATAATAGTTCTAGATATATAATGTACATGAACTAAGAAGTAAAATACCTACATTTTACGCCACGACTCGCGTGAAAGATTTCTATGAAGCGATTTTATCTAACTCTATCGAATCACAAGTATGTTTTCCTGGAATTTAAACACCTTATCATTCTACGGGAACACGGTCATAAATAACACAGTATCTTAAGCATATTATATATCATAGATTAATATGTTTGACAGAGCAAAATGTGATTACTTAATTTGAGTAAAAAAAACGCTGCTAAAAGTTGTTGGTAATGGGTTCAAGTCCAGCCCGTGATATTACGCTTTTAACTTTAAGAAATACTTTTTCAAATGTTTTTTTAGGTCCCTCTGCCGTCGTCAAGTGATGTATGCCAACACCTTATTCATGTGCGTTTGTTTCGAACCGCTCGGCTGTCAACTGCTAACGGGGGGCACGGACCGTCGAGTGGCATATTGGGAGACTGGCAGTGGCAATTTGGCTAGAGAAGTACCAAATCTTCGTACTTTGTGTTTCGTCGCTAAAGGCTAAACCAATTTTACAAATAATCATGATTGAAATTAACTTATGGTAATGGTTACAATCTTTTGTCTATTCAATTAGACATGAACTTTGTTGTTGATACGTCAAAAAAGTAGGGCCTTACTACGTTAATGCTATTTAATTTTTATATATAAAAATAATATAAGCAATTAATAAAATAAGGTTCAATTACAAAAACCAGAAAGAACTTGAGTAGATCACAACATCGACGTCTATAAATAACTGTTTTCCAGTTGGAAGCAAGTAAAGTGGGCGCAATCAACGGTCTGCATATCACTCAGAATGGGGAATTGTTTGTGACTGGTGGCAACGATCAGATGGTTAAAGTAAGTTTCACGATTAAAGAATTTAGTGCATTTGTATAGATTAAACACATTACGCTGGACGATCCCGACAGCAAAACCATTATATTTAAAGAATTAACCGAATGGGAAATAGATTGAAAAATAACCATATGCGTGGGAAAAGATCCCTTTTTTTCTATGAAAATAGATTTTTAATTATGTGATCATGCGCAGTAACACAACAACAATATATAATAATATACCTAAAGTAGCTCTACAGTATTGTATCGATTTTTATTGAAAAGGTGTGTCAGGGGCGGATCCGACTTGCATGATTTTTAATAAGCATGTTCATGCTCCGACTTCCACTTAGCGGATTTTCTAGTAGATGTGACCACAACCTTTTTTGAGGGTTGGATCCGCACTTGGGTGTAGTTCCCTTTAAAATCCCTACTCAGAAGAGCAAACTTCTTACAAACAAAACGGTGGTTGTTAATAATCGATAAGACATAGATAAAAAATATTCAAAAAAAAATGTCGTGCAGTCGGTGAGTTTCAGTTACGTCGATTTAAGTTTTATATACTTCTAATGAATTCGAATAATTATAAACTGGTGTATTTAGTTGTGGAAGTACCAGGAGGGTATCTACACGCACACCGGGTTAGGACATGCCGGCGCTGTGACTTGCTGCAGGTTCAGTCCAGATGCCAACTACATTGTTAGCTGCTGCGCGGCTGGCAGCATTATCATTTGGAAAATGCCTGAAGTGAGATGTTTTGATAATTATTTTTAAAAACAATGAAAATATTTTTACATATATGAATGATTGTCTCGTAGTAGTTTTTGATAGTCATTATCATTTGGTCTTTTTAGAGAAACTTGCTTAGTGTAGAAGAAAACCAATCTGAACCATGTAATCCTCTTCAGCATCACTCATCAACTGCACACAAAATTTGGATAAAACGAGTGACAAGAAATTAACTGTAACATTGAGGACCTTTCTGTACATCCTACTTTAGTCTAAAATTGTCCTCAAAATGCAAGTATAAAGTTATACTAGTGTATTGATGCATTAAATAAATATTCTATGACTGTTTACAGCAATACCTTTCAAAGAACTCAAAACCTCCATCTGGACGGAAGAGCACAACACAATCTCCCAAGACATTACAAGAAGAACTCAGGTTGCCCCTAGATGAAAAATTGTCTCAGAAGGCTGCTGGGGATAGACCACACAAGGTGCCTGCAGCACCCTCAAAGGTAAATAAATAAATAATTTAGGACAACTGTCTAAATAAGTTGTTTTCAGTTATATTCAAGATCTTTAAAATTGAGATATCTATTTTAGGTGGAAAAGATTGAAGCAATGGATACAACTCGCAGCAGTGTCCACTCGTGCTGTCCTTGTGATACAGCAAAAAGTAAAGCGTCCAACAAGACTCCCAGTGACAAAGGATCAGGAAAACCTAAATGCTGTCGGCCTCCAGGTAACAATTACATTACTGAAATTTGTTCACCCTTTCCACACTACTCTGTTGAGTTCTGCTTATGCTTATAATGCCTAATACCCGTACGCCTATCAAGATAAATGTATGTGAAAATGATCCAGAAAATCACAATTATATGAATTTAAAATATCTCTTTCCAGATAACTTGCCTACCAGAACAACAAGTAAGGAGTATGTCAGCAGAAGTGGGGATAAAAAATAAGGACTGAATAAAAGAGTTACAATGTACTTAAAGCTATTTATTACATAATATTATATTACTTTTATATAAAAAATTTTTTATTCTTAGCATTGTAAATGAACTGAACCAAATTTACTGTGTGACATATGTGGAATGCAAGACAAAATTCACATACTTTTTCTCCCATGTCAATGAATATTGTGCATATTAAGTATAGGAGTATATATGTGTGTTACTTACAGAGCAATTCATCCCCAAGCCTGGCTTTTGCAGTAATGTAAAACTAATTTACCATCAGTTCCAAAACATTCATATAAATTTTTTATCACTTGATCAGGTGATGGCGCAAATGTTTGGTTAACATACAGAAACTGAAAAGAATCATATTTAATAATAAAATAGTAATTAGACCATCAAACTATGATATGGTAAACAAATACCCACCAACTTTTCATCAGGTTCCAACTTTAAGTATTTTTTAACAAATTCCATTATCCAGCCAATTGGTTTCTCTGCATCAACAGCCCACTTTTTTTTCTTCATAATGGGCGCATTTCCAGTAGCTTTTAATAGGATATCGACTGAATAGAATTAACAACAAAAATGAAAATTAAATGAGGTATTTGAAAATATAATTTTTATACTGTAAATATTAATATATACCTTTTACTTTATCAGTTTTAACAGTGTCGCCGTTTTCTTTATGCTCTCTTAGATTTTCCACTTGGGATTCACTTTGGCTAATTTCCTCGCAAGTATTTTCGAGACTCATGTTTTGATTCGTGATTTAAATGCCTTTAAATCCTTACATTTCCGACATATGCAATTACGTAAATAATTAAAATATCCTCAGACATACGAGACTACAATTTTTGGAACAAAATACGAAAAACTGCGAAAAACAAAATACACTTTGACGCAAAAACTGTCTGACAAAATCAATCACATATTCGTAATTAGAATCTGTAGTCTAATGTGATTGATTTTATCAGTCTGCACAAAAAATTAAATATGTTCTTATTTTTTATCTGTATAAAAATATGAACATATATGAAGTTTTACAAAAATAATTAATATTATTACACTTTATGCGTATGGAGTAGAGTTAATAACAATTTCACGCATATTTCACGTCATAAAAATACTCTGACTAATATTTTATATTGTTAGTAGCTCAATGGTAAGTGGAAGTTCACGCGGCAACACTACAGCTGACTTCATCCGGTTTACTTAGTTGATAGTTCGTTTTACTTTGCAAAGTGCAATGTCAGTTAAAATACGTTCTAGAATAATGTCATTGTTTCTATTTAATTAACCAGGATTCCAAATTATGATAATACACAGACACTGACTAGTGAGTAACGAGCGAGGTGCAAATTGTAAATACAAGATTCTTTACTCAGCTAAACCATCTCAACATCAATTGCTTGTAAGTTAATTTATTAAAATAAACATAGTATTACATTATAAAAAACTGAAGTAATTTAAACAAAAATTGTGATATGATAAAACTGAATTTGTCCAATTATTTATTATATCTTAGTTATATCCAACTTGTTTTTCATTTTAAATTTGATTTTTAACAAGATCTTTGCATTAAACTATCAATAAGATGAAATAAATTTTATATTTTCTGTTTGTTTTAGACTGACAATGAGCTCTGGGACATGGCTCACAGCAGAAGATGTCATAAAGGATTTGGCTTTGGCTTCTGGACAACATGTTGGCAACTTAAATGAAAAATTTGTAGTTGTTGGTAAGCAAACACCACAAATAAATAACGAAGGTAGGTAAAAATTATAAATATAGATTTTCTACATATATAATTTAAATATTAAGTTAGATCTCACATTTATGACTTTAGCAACATACAAATACAACTTTTATTTAACATCACATTAAAATATTGTTAATTTGTACAGCCTTCCTGGATGGTTATATTATAATATCCTAATAAGTTTTTGTTGTAATGTGTATAATTAACTCATTGATTCATAGTTTTTTTATAAATTTAATCTTATTTGTATCTTGCCTTGCTTGCCTAAAAGAGATGCGGCAACTTCGCGTTCTTGTTTGTTTTGAGACCTAAATTAGAAAACTGCTATTATACATAAACATCAGCCTCTGATAGCTATTCAATTTTCAAAGTACTTAAGTTAGTCAACATTTTAAATCCTGTGATACATCGTCAGTGAAACATATATTTTTTGCTGTTCAGTTGATCAGACTACTGTGCCACATTTTTTGTTTCCCTGGGATTGGACCCAGGACCTCGCGCGCTTAACGCAATGCTAGGCAATATGTTTATCATTTGGCTAGTGAGGCTGTCACATACATTGTAAGTGTAATACATATATAATAACATTTTATATATAAGTTTGTCTAAATTGTATCGTTTGTTTCAGAGGAAAATGAGGAGTTAGCAAATTGGCATGATAGTTATGATCTAAAGAATAAAGAATGTCAAGCAGATCCAGATCTTACAGGCATCACTCAAATGTTAAGATTGGTAAGTCAATGCATATTTTAAGATTAACACAAAGTTGGAATAGTTCAATAAGAAACAGAAGAGAATATACAAATGAGATACAATCAATACAATATAGAGTAATGATTTTTAAATGTACACTTTCAGGTTAATCAATTAGATAACAATGGAGTTGGGACAACTTCTGAATTGTCAGACTTAAGAAAATCTGCTGCAGAAAACAGCTCTTTGGTTATCAGCAAACTAAATACAAATGCACAAGAATTTGTGCCTCTTAATTTATCCCAAGGCAGTTCCTCAAAAAGGCCTTTACATAGTAATGAAAACAATAGTCCTAATGAGGACAATGTGCAATATGATATAGATATAAATAAAAGAATAGATGTAACTAAACTTGAAAATAATGAAAAGGAAAAACTAAAGGAAATTTTGAAATCAAAAATAAGTGGAACCAGAAATAGTAGCTGTGGCAAAAGTAAAAGAGCACGGAATCTTGCAATAGCAACTCTGTTGAAATTGACATCTGCACCAAATCATGTGACTGAAGAACCAGCAGCTCCCAAACTCATGACACCAGATGATTTTCAAACACTTAATAATAATGATGCATTAGAAACAAAGGAAAATTTGGAAAATCAAACATCAAATGAGGCCATTAATAAATCTGTTGAAAAAGTAAAGAAATGGTTGAAAGGCCCTGAGTCACCAAAGAAAACCAAATCTATATTTTTAGGACCAATAACTTATCAAAAACGACCTGATACAAAGTATTGTGATAGTCCAACGTCTTCCAGTAACAACGACGAAAGTAATAATTGTCTTACAAATTTTGTGCCGTCGTCTTATGCAGCGGAACTTACGGAGAAGTACGAACAACGCCTAAAAGAAAAACAAGATCAGGATGACATATGGACGAAATTAGAGAGACAATTAAAGGAAAGAGACGAGATTATCCGGCAAAAGATTGCAAACCAGGGAAGTAAGTAAAAACATGGCTGTGATTAAAGACGCCATATGTTCTGATTTTCAAAAAAACTATTTACAATTTCTCTATAATTTGGTATTATGGAGTTTTCCACTGTTGACTCTCTAATTTTCAATAGTTATAAATTGTGTTATTGAGAATATGAATACTCATAGCCATACTTTACTTTTAGGTAATTCATCATAAAGTATGAGAAAGGAAATAGACTTTTTGCAAAATGTATTTGCGTGCAAGATAGACAACTGTACTATTTAGTACAAAGATTATAAGTTTATAAGAAGGTGGGTGAAATGGTCAGCAATTTCCTGAATACAAAATAATAGCAAACAGTCATGCGTTTGTAAAGTTCTTTACGACTAAAATGGGCATCATTCTTGCGGTTCATATTACCACAAATATGATAAGATAAAGTACAGTTGCTGTAGTGTTGTCAACGGAAACAAGGGTTCAACTTATATGCAAGGCATTAATTGGTATTTACTTTTAGGAGTAACGGTATAGACGATGATGAATAATTCACAAATTTGTATCTGCAATGTTAGGTGGGGAAAAAGAAATCCAATATTTTTACGCGACATTCATGACACTCAAACCAAACATTGAGCTTTCGCTTCGTACCACGTGAAGCATTATAAAGAGTGCCTATCGTCTATGTTAATTCATTTAGTCAGTCATTGTTAATGTCAGAAGCATATTCAGGCGGTTCATTTTGTGAAAGCTGAAATACTCCAGCCATATAACAACTAAACAAGGTCCACTTATCAACCAAGTTTGACATTCATCTTCCATTTGTAACACCTCCCTGTCACAAAATGAACCAATAAAAAATGGTACAGGATTTTTCACATGAAATATCAATCACTACAACTATGAACCAGCATGGAATTCTTTTCCCCCATCCTAATATTTTATCTTTTAATAAAGCAAGTATTCTAAAATAGTATATCTGAAACTGAATATACTAATAAGAATAATAAGTGATTCCAATCAAATTAAATATTCCAAATTTAAGAAATTGTCAAAATGTTAATGGGTTAAAAATATGTGATACATGTTAAGGAAGATAATGTTAATCGGTTAAAATTATCAAACAACCGAGATCCAATAATAAAAAACTGAACCCCATAAGTAATGACATTGATTAGAACAGTTGAGGCATTTTGAGATCTTTTTTGACGTCATCTCTGGTTTAGGTCTGTCTACTTCAATGTTATTAATATTATAGTTGTAGGAATATTGTTATTTAATTGGGCAATATAAATAAAATATATTTGTATACAATGGCGTTTGTTTTTGTACTACTTCCTATTTCCTAGACTGGACTTATTTGAACAGCAATGCTCTTTACAGTGAGTAACGTATATTTAATATAAATCGTAATTTAGACTGAATTATTATATAAAAGTCGAATTAATTGTTTCGTCCAATTATATGGTTTCCGAAGTGTCAAGATTGTTTTAAAATTTCATATATATGAAATAATTAAGGGTTATCAATTAGTCTTTCTATTATTTATATTGTGCTATTAGGGGCCTATCGTCTTATCGATATTATTTATGCTTAGATTTCCTATAAAGCCATAATAACTTTTAGCAGTGCAACTTCTCTAGTAAATGTATCACGTAAAACATGTTTATCATGGGTATTAAATGTTAAACTTGCATGCGACAGGTAATGATACCTGTATAAAAAAGCTAAAGTTTCTCAAGTGCTGTAAGCTGAGGCGATAACTTAATTATTTCACTTATATCGTAAACATTTTTACGTAAAGGTATATAAAAGTAGAAAAAATGTTCTGCCTTATATCGTTCTTACATATGCCGCTGCACCAACCAAACGTTACCAATAAAATTTAAAAACACTCTTTCGCTTCCAGACAACTATGGTATTTGTGTTATATTTATTGTGCAGAATTCTTTATTATTTGTTATAATAGATAATACGTAATAAGAAATAAACGTATTGTAATGACCTTACATAGTACAGTCTCCTTAAACCTTTTTAGTTTCACACTCACAGTGTCTTTACCCCCTCGTATATAGGTACCTACCTACCATCCCATATAACGTTGTCATCTTGCATGTGAATGCTTGATAATAATGTTAATTGAAGATGTCAACTCAGTCTAACAATCAGTCCTTTATGAGATCTCAAACGACGCGCGCGCACCTTTAAATGTCACAAGGCATATTTATCCGATTTCTCGTGAAACCCTATATTCATAGGTAGCGGGCCTTTAATTTAGATATATCTTGATAATAGGTGAGTTTTTAGAATTTTTGTACGATACCGCCAAAACAAGTTCCTATTTCTGCTACGAAGAAGTGTATCTTAACGAATCAATTAAGAACGAAATTTCGATATTTTTCTTATTTTCAGTTTAAAAACAAAAAAAATGTTTCAAGAGAACATTCAAATGGGACTGGACGGCATGCCAAACGGAGGTGTAAGTTATTTTTACGATTTATTTCATTTACGTTGAGTTACATTTTCTATAGGAATTCTGATTGGAACGTCCAAGTAAGGTATATAATATTATTTACAAATTATCAAATGTTGCCGCAAACCTTTATATTTCTAACTAGAGTAATTATGGCTTTCTCTCTTATAAATTCTTTATTCTTCTTATATAAGTAACACTAGGTCGAAACAAAATATGTTTTCTATATTACTTATACCCTGTTGATACATAGTCTTACAGTCGATATCAGAATTTCCTACAATATTTGAACGTCGGCAGATTGCTGCTTCCTTTATTACTCTCTTGGGTACTGAATCGGTTACTTTTTATGTGCCTCGTGTTTTCTTCTCAGTTATTATAAAAGGCTTTTCCTTTGAAATTATTCTACAAAATATTAGAATATATTGTACAGCTTAGGAATAAAATAGTGGAATATTTAAATAAAACACTTTAACGGTTTAAAACGCGACATTAGTTAAACTTATTTGAAAATGATTTTTATCTTCGGCCCGACGTTTCTGATGCTTTGCAGCAGTCGTGGTCACGGGGAGATAAAACTATTTTTCAAATAAGTCTAACTTATATATTATCGCTTTTTAAACCGTTAAAGTGTTTTATTTAAATGTGTAGGTACTACTCGCGTAAACTGTAGACAGTATATTGGAAGCGTTACCATTGTTTGTTCTGTCATCTTATTACATACATTGCTGAGAACTACGTGTCTTGGGTTCGATTCCCACCTGGTCGCTAGAAATTCAATATAATATTTCTTAAAGATGTTAGCCTCCGGCCAGGATTGTGGCCTTGGTAGGTCAGAATATCGAAAGTCCGCTCGAGACACGAACCTACGTCCATGAAACAGAGCTGGGATATTTCACCTTAAAGTGAGTTCGTCTATCCTCCTCTGTTATCAAAAAACAATAGAAATCAATTTATGTCAGTAAATTATGCAAAGATCTTATCCGGTTAAAAAACTAATGACATTTACAATGAATAATGATGTGAGATAATGCTATAATACATATTGAATTTTTGTTTTTAATTCTTCCTCATAATTGTGCTTAGTTAATCACTAATTCATTTTTCGTACCGCATTCTAGTAAAATCCTAATTTTCGCGAAGGCTTAAAGATCTTTATCTTTAATGAACTGGTTTTCTTATTTCCCGTCCTTGGTTTATAGTAGAATAATATTTGAATCTTTATGGGAACGAAGGTATTATAAACTTATTACAATGTGTTATTAAAACAATACAAAAGACGTCAATATAACCCGATTTTAACGTAACTAATGTATGAAGAACTAAAATAAATACAAGGAAAACCTTTAATATATTTTATTAACATATTTTTATAGTGGAGACAATCGTCACATATAAAATGTAGGCGTATAACCGTGATATTCGAAAACTTTATTATTTTTACATGTTATTAGTATAGTACATACACTATATAATACAAAAATCAAAAATAAATTGAAAAAAAAATTATAACCGTGATAGTTATATGAACAACAAGTGAAATGTCCTTTATATTATGTTTGTGTGTTAAACAAGCTGAAATGTAATTTAAATATTATCTAGACATTGTAAGTGACGAGCCAAGATCCAAATAAATTACCTAAAGATTATTTCAATAAGACATTAATGTATCCTATATTCCTATTTTACTCATCTCATTATGAGTCAAATTTAGACGATAGGCAAAATATTTGGAAACTTTAATATATCTTACATGTTATTGCACATGTTGGTATTATATAAATTAAAAATCGATTAGACAATGACAATGACAATGACAAATTAGATAGAAAAATTTTACCACAAGGGCATGACATGAACCGGCACCCATGGCGTTTCGTGCTGTTGAAATTGCAAATAAAAGGAAGAGGTGCATGTATCAATAGGTTGAAAAAAATCGACGATGACGTGAAAGACACCGGTCTTTTTCTGCTCAATTGGTTACACTACAGCATTATCACGAAACCCCGTTGATGCCGTTTCAAGTCTTGCCCCTATCGTTTCTTTTTAAATCTAAAATCTATTTTTAATTTAAGCAAATTTTGTTATTTCGACGGCTTTATCCTCTAAATTTCTTATAGGAGAACAATGCACAACCAAACGAAGCTAAACGGGAGGGAAATGTGACGTATGGTATCGATGACATTCCGCCGTGGTATCTCTGTATATTTATGGCCTTACAAGTAAGTATATAACTTACATATTTAAACTTAAGTTGATTTTACAGTCTATGTATAAATTTCCACCTTTATGTAAATCACAGTGGTAGTGATAAACGATTCGTAACAATAGGAACTGAGTACGCTGAAAATAATTAAAGTAAATATGTAATAGAAATTGAATCTGAAAAACAAACATTCGTTTATATTTTAATTTTAATAATTATATATAGCTTTATAATTTTTATTTCTTGCAGCATTACTTAACAATGATTGGAGCTATCGTGGCAATTCCTTTTATCTTGTGTCCCGCTCTTTGCATGGATGAGAGAGACCCTGACAGGTCAAATATTATATCAACCATGATATTCGTTACAGGTAGGTTAATAATACTGTTTACATTTGAAATCATCCTCATCGTCCTGAAATCATTTTTCAATAAAACTGCGAACATAACCGCCCTCTACCAGAGACCGACATCATAACTTTTATATATTGTATATGAAAGTCATATTGAGACAGTACTAAAATTAAAAAGAAAATGAACTTTAACTCGTTACCATTTCTTTCTGTGCCGTTATTACATTTGATACTTTCTGAATTTTAATAAAAATGCATCTGTGTATTAAATTTATGTAATCTACTGTTTTCTATTGGGCTTACCTGGACGCTATATAACAATTATATATCTATAAATCTACGAGGTTCTTAAGTCTATGCTAATAGTTTTATTATCTAATAAATACATTATATGTGTGCATTGCTTAGGATATCAAACACTTCAGTTTATATGATTATATTATGTTCGGCAAAATATTGCGCAATGTTCTTAAGATAATTTTTACTCTGTTAAATCCGGATTTTCAAACCTTATCTAATCCAGTTTAAACATTATGTATACAAGTTGTCTTTGTGTTTCCTAAGATTCCTTTTCATCATAAAATGTATAATATGATTCGATGTTGATTTACGAATTAAACTTGTAAGCCCTTGAACAAGCATTTCGCAAACACTTCTACTTTAAACAGATATAATATCTTCCAGTCTAATCTATACAAATACAATGATTTATCTTTTGTGACTGACTGACGTATGGAGGAATAGCCTAAAATACTAATCGTAAAAAGTCGGATAGGTTTTTTTGAAATTACACTAAGTACTTACTAAGGAAGTCAAATATATGGCATATATTTATATGAAGCCGGTAGCATAGCGAGACGGTCTCTATTAAATAAAATATCTGTCCTCATCATAATGAAAATTAAATTGTGTAAGGCTTTCACGGCCATTGTGCAGCATATCATTGTTTTTCGAGCTGTTCGGCCGACGTGAGCGGGAAGAGGGAGAGGCTCCTAGGGGAGCTAACAACACGTCCCCTCTTGATGGCGAAACGTCGAAAACCTCTTCTTGCTCACGTCGAACAGCCCGAAAAACTATGATATGATAATGAAAATTGTTTCATAATAAATATTATAAAACACTTATAAGTTTGGCGCATATTTACTGAGTTTTATGTTCTTATATAATTATTATTGTCAATTGTAAGTCCCCGATAGTCAACCAGTTTGTTAGAATTGGGTCGCTCACTCAGCATTTAAATGGAATCTAAACTTCCTTGTCAGAGCAACGAAGTCGTCGAAGGCGGCTGCAGTGTAACTAATTAGTGATAATGTAACCGGAGACAGCGTAGAAGTCAATAACTATAATCTATACTAATATATAAAGCTGAAGAGTTTGTTTGTTTTTAACGTGGTACTCTCAGAACTACAAAAAACTATACGACAGTGTATGTCTATCTTTTAAAATTAATTTGCAAGAACGTCGGTACACAGACGGTGCAAACTTTGATGCCTAATATAACTATGCCACTTAGAAGCAGTCGCGGGTAATGTTTAAAACTCCCTCATGTACGTATAGTACGGAGCAATAATTCCCTTAATTAATACCTAACCATAACACAATTTAATAATAAACAGGATTAATAACATGGCTACAAGCTACTTTTGGCTGCCGTCTTCCAATAGTCCAAGGAGGTACCATATCCTTCCTCGTGCCTACTTTGGCGATCCTTGGACTACCCACTTGGAAGTGTCCAGACCAAGGAATCCTGGCTGCCATGACACCAGAAGATAGAAGACAAGTCTGGACGAGCAGGATGTGTGAACTCTCTGGCGCTATCGCTGTTTCGGCTTTGTTCCAACTTTTCGGTGGTATGTTTGATAATGATATAAAATAATTTTTTTTGGCCGTTGCCATTTTCCACAGACGAAACTAGCGAAAGGTAAAGTTTTAATCTACCATGATGGCCAACTGCGTGTTTGCGGATGACTCATATCGTAGAATACTTGGTTCGAGAACGTGTCAATTTGATCAAAATATATTCCATTTAAATAAAACATTTCAACGGTTTAAAACGCAATATGTATTAGTTAAACTTATTTTATAAAATTATTTTAAATTTTAAGTACGGCCCGACGTGACGTTAGACAATATTTAAGATATTGATATTCAGCGGAGGGCGTGAATATTTACAGAGATTTTGTTTTTTATTTTGAAGGATCAGGCATGGAACATGACCTTGAGAACGTAGGTCTTCTCGTGTCCTGTTTTAAATAATACTAATTACCGTTTTCTAAACTAGATAATTATAAGTTTATGCATTTAGGTTAGTAAATTAAATGTCTATTATTTTATGTAGGTTACTTCGGTATCATTGGGTCTCTTCTTCGATTCGTGACACCATTAACCATCGTCCCAACGGTGGCCCTAGTCGGACTAACCTTGTTCGATCATGCAGCTGAGGCAGCGTCCCAACAGTGGGGCATTGCTGCTGGGTAAGAAATTAAATAACATTTATTGGTTCATAAATCTATTAAAACCTAATTAACAGAATCTACAAAAGCTGATTCTTTTTTACGTTCTTATCGACTTTTATTCTTAACAGATCTTATTGAGTTGTCGATACGTTGTACGCGAGTATGTGATTATACAAAGGGTCCCTTTCTTTGATCTTACGAAAGCCGAGTAAATCTTTGAAAGAAAATTGCTTGACGGTTATTACTTTACTTTTTGTGTTACGAAAGATGTTTAATTTAATTAAGCAATTACCTAAGACATTTATTTACCTGAAAGACTTACACTTGATAGAGAAATTTTATTCTTAAAAGAAGTAACTCTATATTACGCATTCAAGTGACATTAGACCTTAATATTGATAGAATTTCTTAGCGTAGTACAACAGACAATGAAACTAAAAGAGAGCAATTATTGTTCAAATCGACACACTTTGTTTGACAAGTGTGTCCATTATTTCACAAAAAAGGCACAAAATCATTCACAAATTTGTAGGCACTTCGTATAGCAGAGACAGTTGTTTTTTCTTGTGAGTTATTACGGCATTACCACGGCACGTAATCGGTTATTTCCGCGGAAATTTCAAATTAACTTTTAAAAAAGGTTCCTATTTAACAAAATTCAATATATATTGAAATTAGAATCTTCTATAACTTAGAAACAATGACAATGAATATTACTTTACAAACGTTTGGACTAATTATCAAATTTATATAAAACACTTTAACGGTTTAAAACGCGATATATTGTGTGCATCAGCGGAAACATCGGGCCCCAGTTAAAATTAATTTAAATAAAACACTTTACTATGTACTACTTATGTGTACTACTCGCGTAAACTACAGACAGTAAATAATTGTCAAATAAAAGTAGAAAAAGGTATGATCTCTTTTAAATTTAATATTACTGTAATTTACTAGTAATAAATATCATTTATATTTTCTACTAGCATCGTGGTATTCACTGCCTAGCAATGCGTTAACCATACATAGTCCTGGGTTTGAATCAGGGGAAAACAAGCATTATAAGCATGTAAGTCTGATCTACTTAAATAACTTCGGTAAGTGAAACGGACATAGATCTGCCTTACATGATTCGAGAAATATTTTTCGTGATACATTTCAAATGATCTCAAACGTCATTACATCGTACTAATTGAATATTTGAAGAATTGTTTGTAGTTAACCTTGTTCACGGTACTTAAGCGATTTTTGACGTTTTCTTAAAACTAGCCATTAAAAACCCGTCTCAAAAACATCCTTATTTATGATTTTACATAAACGTTAAATCGATACTGCAATGGACGTCGACCCCTGACCTTTCGACCATTGCTCTAGTTTAAACGGAAACATCGTTTTAATCAAATCACTTCAAATTTCATCAAAGTAGGCTTCAGTGCCTGATAATGGTACTCTCCATTAATTAATCACTAAAGTGATCCAATCAAACCTGTTGCTGGAGATTGATGGGTTGATATTTTTCAGCGCTTATTACTTAATTTTATAATGCTGTGACATTATTACGATATTTTTTTTTCATTTTAGGCCGGTTTTTGTAGACACTAATTCACTAATATTTAAAAACTGTCATTTATAGGCTCTCATAAGCTGCAAACGTGTAAGTTTTATAAAACTTTACCATTCAATACTTTTCAACTTTTGCATTTGCTAAAGTTTCTGAAATAACTGAAACACAAAGTTTTGCTTTGATTTTTTTGTTTCTCGTTTGCTTCTATTTCGATATTTCCATGTATTTGAATGCATCATTAAATACAGTTAGTTTCTTTCTTTGCTTTTATTAGTTTTAGAACTATTATGAACAAAACAAGATAGCTATTGGTAAGGTATGTCATTGGACGATTTGGTTATTTATCGATATTCTTATAAAAAGAAGATACTATTTATATTCTTACTATGTAATATATATTTTCATGGCACATGACACAGTAATGTATCCTTGTTGTCTTATTTCTTCCATAAAACACGTTCGACCTACTTATTTTACTTAGATACATTTAAATTACAGAGTATTATAATGAATTCAAAAATTAACATACAAACAGGTTTATCTGATTAATTCAATTAGTAAGAAAAACGACTTATTTTAACAGATCTTGGATTTGCTATGTTTATTTATTAAAGAGTAAAAGAATGTAAGATATTGTGATGGTCATTTTATAAAAAGGAGCCGGTTTCTATGGAAACTACGTGCTAGGTATATATTATAGTCTATGTAAATACAGACTAAATTATATATAAAAGTAGATTATAGTAACTTGTCTAATTTATCTCGTTTCTAAAGAAAAGAAAAATACTGACATATACAAACTTCTTAGTCACTTATTCAAATTAATTAACTTTAAAACGATATTTTTTTTGAAACAAGGTCACGTTAAGAACTTGGTAATATGTTTTTTGCATTATCGTTATAATTAAGTACTGAAATAAGTGTTCCCATAAAAAGGGTAATTGTTCTTTTTTCAGCACGTTTATTTTACTTACAATATTTTCACAATGTATGGGCGAAGTGAAGATACCTACAGTGGCATGGAGGAAAAGTGTCGGTCTTACTGTTATTTGGTTTCCGCTTTTTAAGCTGTTTCCGGTTTGTATCTATGGAGTTTCTAAAATGTATTATAGGTTTAGTAATTAATGTCTGTAATGACTATTATGAAATATATTTTCCAGGTCCTCCTGACGATTGTAATAATGTGGGTAGTTTGTGGCATACTAACCGCAACTGATGTTTTTGAAGCGGGTCATCCGGCTCGTACTGATCTCAAAGTGAATATTATAGAAGATGCTCCCTGGTTTCGTGTGCCGTATCCAGGTGAATATACAATCCAATTTTCTTATACGTAGTTAAATTTACCTAGATCTTTAATATTGCTCTTATTATAGTCTACACTCTATCCATTTCTCTTTAAAAATAGTAGGTAAATTGTTCAAACGAATTCCAAAAGAACCGAAACATGGAAGCTACCGCATTTAAGATCTTAAAGAGACTATAATTATGTCACCATATTAATATTAACGAGCTGCCTCATAAAACGGGTCTCATTATTCAAAGAATCATTTCAGGCGTGTCTCTTGAAACAATGAACGAACTAATTGTTTTTGTTACTTAAAATCCGTAACGTCTCTAGTCTTTACAATTGGTAACGTTTTTTCTAGTGCCTGTCTAGATATAGAAAGTTAAATTAATATTTTAAATATTAAAAACAGCAACAGTGAATAACATTTTTTTATGAAACCTCTCACAATTCGAACCGAATGCGGGTTAGCCGATAACATAACATATTGTCGATTTTTTGGGTCTAGTCATGCCACAAGGACATGAAACCGAAATATTTATAACAAACTGAAACTCAAACTAATAACTTAAATACACTTTAAAACTTTAATGGAGTTATTTTTACTCTAAAAATATATGTCCACAATTTTTAAGAAAACACTTCTCAAATGAACTATATAGGTACAATGAATCATAGATCTCTTCAAATATGTTATTCAGCTTGCCTTTGCGCATTATTCATTCTTAACACATGCTCCAAGGTCGTTTTAATTTTGGTTCTTCTTAGGTCAATGGGGAGTTCCTACGGTAAGTGTGGCTGGAGTTCTCGGGATGTTGGCGGGTGTTCTGGCCTGCACAGTGGAGTCTATAAGTTACTATCCTACTACTGCTAGAATGTGTGGTAATTATTACAATAAAAATTAATAACTAAACTAAGTTACTACAAAAACTACTTTAAACGAGTTGTAACACGTATTGCATTTAAAATCATGTTAAGTACCCGCAACCGGGTCGCAGTCAAATCTGACATACAATTTAAATGCTTTAAGATTTTTCTCATCGTATCGCGATGATGGCTTATATAATTAAAAATCTATTTAGATAAAAAAATATACGACAAAGGAGGGATTTGAACCAGCATCCACAACGGCACTGTAGTTCAATTGGTTAAAGGAGCAGCACGGAACGTAGGGGATGCCGGCTCAAGTACCGCCGGTATCATAGTTTTTTTTTTCAATCTAAATATTTGCTTAATTTCAAATACATTTCGCAATGTCACTCATTTAAAGAAACTTTATTAAGTATATGTATCTCGTAAACAGCAGTATATTCGTAAAGTATATTTTCCATCTGACACTCATAACCACGATAATTTTCGTTGCTTTTTCGCATTTAGTAAACATTGTAGTAAAACGTGAACAGTGCCTCCATACAAAGATTTTCAAGGTTAGACTATACACTCTTGAGATCACTAACGAAATCTAAGTGTTTAAATCAATAGTTGTGGAAATGAACGACCTTTTTTATTATTTGCTGATCCAATATTTAAATATTAAGTACGAATACATGTTAACTAAACGATAATAACACGATTTGCTATTTTTGCAAATTGCAAAAATACTTCCTTACTTCCTTTGTGGTTTTCCTAAGCACCTTTCACTTCGTATCTCCTTAATTTAATGACTACCAGGGGATCATAAAAGATACATATAAAATTAAACGTTTCAGCTGCGCCACCGCCGCCACTACACGCAATCAACCGAGGTCTGGGTACTGAAGGGCTCGGAACAGTCCTCGCCGGTTTATGGGGCTCTGGTAACGGCACAAACACTTTCGGGGAAAATGTTGGCGCCATCGGTGTCACGAAGGTTATGGCTTTATACTTCTCAAATCTGTATACCATACTTCCAATTTCCCTGGAATTTACACGTCTAAGTATTCTTCATATATGTAAAATAAATACTTGCTTTCAAAGAGAACGTTCTAGAACATGTATTGTCCAGAAATTCTTTCAAAATAAAATTTCTTTCTTACATATTTAAAATATAAAAATATCAAATTATATAATGAACAAAAAAAATTTTGTTTTATAGAAATTAAACACTAAAAATTTTATATCCATAGTCACTATTCAATTCAGAAAGAAGCACGCCATATTATATTTACCCTAGTCCAATCATATAATTTGCAGGTGGGCTCAAGACGCGTAGTACAATGGGCAGCGGGTTTAATGATTCTTCAGGGCGTGATTGGAAAGCTGGGTGCAGTATTCATAATTATACCCCAGCCGATTGTGGGTGGACTATTCTGCGTCATGTTTGGCATGATATCTGCATTTGGTAAGACAGATTTTTTTTTAAATCATAAATATTTCGATTTGACAAATTTTAGGAGAAATTGAGTTTGATCTTGTGGGGCATGAGATGAACACCTATATGCGTTTGAATAATGGATTTACTTTGCCTGTCCCATAGAAAAAGTTTACCTTTTTTTCCGGGAATCGAACCTACTGTTGTTAACGCATTTTGTAAGCAACGTATCTTGGTATAAAACAGATGACAATAAAAAACTTGATAATATACAGAGAAATGTAAGCGTTAGTCCTTATTTCTTACTAGTTTTTTTTTAATTAAGCCTTTGCTAGATTTTAGGTATTCATTAGTTTCATGTGTCTTTAAATATGTATGTTTATAATGTTTCATATAAATGAAAAAGTTGTGTTCTGAATATTACGTAATAAACTTTTAGGTAGATATGTACTGTATACTATATATAGTATTGCAAAGCGTGTGTAACTAGATTACAATTGTCTATTTTAGGTCTGTCAGCGCTTCAATACGTGGATCTCAACAGTTCTCGTAACCTATATATCATTGGGTTTAGTCTGTTCTTCCCATTGGTGCTCACTAGATGGATGGCAGCTCATAGTGGAGTAATTAATACGGGGGTGGAAGCCTTAGATGCTGTACTGCAAGTGTTGCTGTCCACATCAATTCTGGTGGGAGGAGTGGTCGGGTGTTTCTTGGATAACTTGATACCTGGTAATTTTAATGCTAAAATTAGCTTAAGAAACGACAAAAAAAAACAGTTTGAATTCAACTCTCAACATTATTGTCTCTTTAGCTTCAAGAGTTCTTAAACGGTAGCTACTATTGGCTTGTTGTTCTGATGAAAGCAACGTATGGATCACAATGAGCGGGTCGTGGGTGCTATTCCCACTAAGTCCAACATATTCCTAGCCAATTTATATTTTTCTAAAACATGTTGGTCTTCTAGAAAATCTGGAGATCAAGTCATTATTCCGACCAGGTCACGAACCATCGGCCAGAGATGAAAAAAACCTTTGCGTCAAGTCTAGTTTCCTAATGTGAATTTAGAAGCAGATTAACAGAGGATCTTATTTAAATGGTCTATGCCTGGTAAGGTATTGCACTTTCCATCAAATGAACTCTCTTCTTGTCTTCTCCTCTCAAAAAAAACAAGTTGTTGTAATCCCAGGATATACTCCTAATGTAGGTATAACAAAAACTATACAACGACGATAAATAAAAGTATTACAGTCCAATATACTCTTCCATCGTGGATACAAAATACTTTTTGCTCCCGTTAGTTGAAACGCTCTCATACATAAAGTAACCCATATAAAATCTCGGAGTCTTGCATAATTTACGAAAAAAGGTCTAAAGTCAGCCACTTTGCCCTTTGCATTTAACCTCCACAGTGCTTGTTTTATAAAAGTCAGTGCTGGCGAATTATATCATCGTGTACAAGAATATCTTCAAACTTCATATGGCTGAGCTATTTCGCCTAGCAACAAGAGAACTGTGTTCGTCTGTGCTATATCATAAAAAATATTTGCTATACAAATAACTTTTGCAAAACCTTAGCCAATTTAATTAATTACGGATTGCAAAGCAATAAAAAACTCCAGAAAAACCGGATTTGTTCCTCTTTGTGGAATAAATCCATTTTATTTTCCGGCTAGTAGTCGATTAGGATTCTGTGTCCCGCCAAAACGAATTTGTTAACTATTGAACCAAATCCGCTTGTAAAATTTAAACGTAGGTAAAAAAAGGTAAACTTTTTAGAAAACATCTTAATTTTAATCTTTAAAATTAAGAACTCAGAAACTCTTTCAGTAGCTATATTTATTAAAATACCTTTAATAAAGTATTAGATTTCTTCTCTACAAACCTCATCCTAACATTGACGAAAATAGTAAAAGAATTATCATATAATTCATTATATGACCAGGAATTTTAATGAAATACTCGTACATATGTAAGAATTTCATCTTTCTTAACTTTATACATGCCTACGACATAAGTATGCCGAGGCTTTAATCTGATTTTATTGGCGATCAGGTACACGCGAGGAACGTGGTTTGGACAAATGGGCTCAGGAGATGTGTTTGGAAGCAGCTGGATCCAGTGGCCCGGATACTTACGATTTCCCCGTTGGGATGAGCTACATACGCAGGTAACGGGGCATATATAAATTGAAGCGTTTTACACTAGTCAAATATATTCTTATCTAGCTGATCCGGTAAACGTTGTTTTGTAGTTTGCAAAATTAATCTTATTACTTTTATACAATTTTAACGTTAGTTTCGATCAAGTTTGATTACTACAAAAACGGTTCTTGAAAGTTACTTTTAAGATCAATTAAAGAAGAATCTTTCTTTCGCACAATTTGTTTTGTGTTATCGCAGTTATTTTCAACATTTTTCGCTGCTTCTTCGCTCCTATTGATCGCAGCATGATTTAGCCTAAGGCCTTCTTCGAGAAATGTTCTATCTAACACGAAAATTAATTTAATTTTGTGTTAGAAAATTATACATATCTCTTGAGTAGTTCTTAAGATTAAGGTGTTTACAAACAAATTTGCCAGTCCTACAATATTAGTATAGCTGTAATTTTACCTCCTCATCAAATTTCAATAAATAAAGCAATCCATATAAACCACCTTAAGCTTCTGGCTAAGGAAAGAATACGATTTCCAATATACATTTTATTTCACACCCTCGCTTCTTTTGAAAGGGAATAAAGATAATGGGAAGTGACAAGACCTCTGTTGATTCTAACCGAGCTCCGCTATAGAACTCAATTCAATTCACCCGGAAGCATTTCTTTCTAAGACTTTTCAATCTAGTGAATTCATCTCGATAAAACGATATAACATATGTTGAATGTGGGTTGAAAAAGTAATAGTGTTTGTTTGTTTGTTTGCTCTTCATGTTAAATTAATCAACATTTCTTTTCAAAGCTTCAAAGGAATGTTGAAAAATAATATAGCAACTTTTAGTCTAGTAAGTTTTTTTAGTCGAAATAAGACTTTGGTCGTTTCGTTACTCCGCATAAAAACTTTTGTTAGGTAAAGTTATACTGTGCCGTTTCTCTGATGTGCCTTAGTATCAGAAACAATTATTACCCTCAACCCAATATATGTGTGATATAATTATATTGGTGCACTACCGGAGGTTAAACCCACGACCATATATGCAACCAAAATGTTCTTGTACTTTTTAATCATTAACAATATTTTTTTAGATGGAACTGGACCACATATGTACCGTTTATGCCGACCTATGAAAATGGGAAATTTTCTGCTCTGTTTCAACGTAAAAAAGACAGCTAAGTGCCACTAAAATTGTGACCCAAAAACAAAATGTTGAATTATGTCGATTTTATGAAAAATGTAGTTTATGAAGTGGTAGCTAAAATGAACTTAATCCATATTGTTGATTCTTATTAATAAAAATAAATCTCGTGGAGTGTGTTATTACATGTTCTTTTATTTCATTTTGTTTGAGCTTTAACCATATTATATTTTATTATAAAACTATTACAAGTCTATTAACAAAATCTAGGCTTTTATAAATACTTTAAAATAATCTTCATTAACAACCAAAGTGTTAAAATATAGGTCATCATTTTCCCACGATAAAAAGGGTGTGTGAAAGCCCGTTTCCACCTCGTGGACCATGGGGCGAACACATTTCTGTGTCCGTTTCACTGGTCCGTTCTTTTAAATAGTTGATCAGACTTCTGTGCACTGCCCGACCGAAACAATTTTTTTGTTTCCCTGGGATTCCAACCCAGCACCTCTCGCACTCAACGCAATGCTAAGCAATGCCACCATTTGACTATAGAGGCGGTCAAAGGATACAAAGGGTAGTGGTTAAAAATTCTATATCCACTATACCGTTTCAATACGCAATGGTGGGTTTTGGTGATAACGTTACTGAGACACAAGGGTGATACACTACTTCCGGGCTGGTAGTAATCATTTTCTTAGGAACGTTTTAAATACCAAAGTAACGACCGACCTAGGATTAGAAACTGGAACCTCGCGATAGTTAAATAAGTTTACCACAAGACTAAAGGGCAGTCTTAAGAGACCAAAAAACAAATAATTCTACCAGCCATATATTCATGTTTAGTTATATATAGCTATTCTGTGTATATCGCTGTTACATAATATAGGTTAGCTGGTTAAACCCTTCAAGTGTGAAAACCTTTGATCATGTTTGTCTTCCCTCGTTGCTGCCACTCTGCGTTAGAAAATGGCGAATGAATTTTGCTTATGAGTTTTCCTTTGAAAACGCACCATCGTCAAAGTTTTGTATTGTAAAATAAATTTTCTAGAAATACTTTTTTGATTATTTTCTCCTTAAGTACTGTCTATAGTTCACGTCAGTAGTACACATTTAAATAAAGCACTTTTAACGGCTTAAGACGCGAAATGTACTTAAACTTATTTCCAAAGTTAACAGCTCCACACTTAGACAACCAACATAAAACACTTTTAACGATTTAAAACGCGAAATATATCTTAATTGATTAGAGTGCGGCTAGACGATCCGGATTCTTTGCAGCGGTCGTAGCGAAGGCGGACTGAAGATGGCTGTGTAATAGAAAATTTGTTAACTAATATATCTCGCCGTGTGTTAACTAATATGTTTCCCCGTGACCACGACTGCTGGAAAGCATCCGAAACGTCGGGCCGAAGTTAAAAATCATTTCCAAATAAGTTTAACTAATATATCGCGTTTTAAACAGTTAAAGTGTTTTATTTAAATAAATAAATAACTCGCGTTTTAAACAGTTACAAGTGTTTAAAAAAGATGTATCTTAATTTAAACACAATATCCTTTATCTGTAATAATATCTGTATGTGGAGCCTTTAAAAACATTTAATTACGTACTCATAGCTATAACTTATACTATCTCCTGAAAACAAACTTTTCTATTGTATGGTCTATGGAGGAATGTAATCTAGTCCATCCTGTTACACGTGTATCTGAACCTCGGTTTAATCTTACTGCTCTTTGTACAGCGGACACGTGCATTCGCTCAGCTATGTATTGAATAGCAAATAAATGGAGTTGCGAGTCTGTTCATATTTACTGGCGGAATGCGAAAGTTCTAGACGACTAGAATGTTTCACACTCGCATATTGAATTGAAAACCCGTTTCCACGTTCACCCATATCTGTTACTGTCACTGATCGATTTTTTAACAGTTAAGAATGTATATAGATTTTTATAATATTCCCATTTTATAGCTCACAGAGCTTGTTCTACTAAATAATCTACCAATGGTTTGGTAGATAAATTGTAGAACACGGTTTGAATCCAACATGTGCCGGATTTAATTATCTAAAATAATTAAATAAATCTCCATTTTACTACTCAATTGTATTTACAGTAGATGATCAAATCGCGCCCTGCTCGAGCGAAACAATGTATTGTTTCACCGGGATATGAACCCAACACTTTTAGTTCTTACCTCTAGGCGTTTAAATTAGCTAGGTATTTAATTAAAATTTTATGGGGTTTATTATGTGATATTATAGTAAATATACGTTAAAATTAAAATTCAAAAGTTAATATACTTCAAAATTAAGCTTTGTAAAAATAAAATTAATTTTACAAACAATTTAGGACTTTTTTTTAGAATAATTGATAAGGATTTTTAATTATATTGAGCATATTATAAACATGTCTTTTTTATTATAATTATGACCTCAATGTGCTGAATAGTTTATAAAAGCTTGTTCATGTCACGCTACCGCAACTATTAAACAACATTTATACGTATATGTTATTTCGATCTGGTTTAATGAAAAACAATTTAACTGGACAGTTTTTTGCTACAAACGTTAGTTAGACATTGTGCTCTATTACTAAAGCAAACAATATTAAAATTGTGTCTTTTATTGCACCTGAAATGACTGTAATAGCAAACTTTCCTAATACCATTTTAGCCGAAGTGTTGCCTGCATTTGTGTAGTGAGTTATTCAGACCAAACGTTACCATGGCTATTGTAAATTATTCGAAAGATTACGTCGTGTCTCAAAATGAATTATTACTGTTTCTTGTTTTAAACCGTTAACAGCTTTAACTTAGTGTCTTAAGACTCATTTATATAAGAATTAAGTTGATATCTGTCAAAAATATAGCTTTTTAAAAATTAATTGAGACTAAGTACTTTAATAAAAACATTGTCGTGGGCAGTATCAGCAATAAATACTTTCATTTGATATGTACGATAACAATTGTAAAAATAATCACACAACCAACTTTTCCCACGAAATACGTATTCTTAACGTTTTAAACAGTTTTTTATTAATGTTTGCAAAAACTACAAATAACACGACAGCAACGATTTTAACCATAGTGCATTTATTAAAATAAGGATAGATACAAAAAATGTAGGTAGTTATAGAGAAAGAATGAACCTTTAAACTGACCCCGGCGTTACCGAATAGGTCATGACTTCGTAAAGAAGAGTATCGTTTGCAGATTGTTTAGGAATACAAAAAGATACCAAGCGTTACTGCATCGCCCTTTTAGGGTTCCGTATGTATATTTTTTTTATAATAGAAGAGGACAGACATGGCATGGGGTTCACTTGATGGTAGGTACCCCAGCCTATAGCATCTAACCAAAATGCGCTGTCACTTATAATATAATAAGTGAGTATTTAATAAGGATATGGGGCTCTTAGTCAATTTTTTGGAAATTCCAGAAGGACATTTTCGTGTGCATTATGACCACAGCACGCCATGGGCAGTGCACAAGTGCATTGCAATATTTACTATGCGCACGCATTTAACCTGTTGGGCGGGGATCGTATCGACCTGAGGGCGAGGCAGTCTCGGCTCCGAATACACAGAGGCCGGTCGCGTGTACTGAACTGTGAATAAAGTGTAATTTAACATGCTGCTATCTTGGCCGCACTGAACACACGTTTTCAGGTGATTATTATATTTAGATTTGATGTTAGTGGTGTTAACTTTATTTTCGGTACTGTTCGACAGAGGAAGTTTTTTGTTTATTTTGTGGTGATCGCTTTGTTTCGTATCGGGTGAGCATTTTCTTTGGTTGCTATTTATTGCTTAGCGTGTAATGTTCTTTTGAAGGTTGGTTCATTTGAATACTGAATTAAAAGTATACATTTTTTAATTAATTTAGGCATTACTTTGACTGAAAAGTAATTTTGTAATGAGGGTAGTTTTGTTTTTAGAATTATTTTGCTTACTTATAAATGTTTAAATTATAATTCTTATTTAAGATAAATCTAGACGTTTATGTGGTTGTTTCTTTCTCAATACTCCATTTTGTCATCTTTGAATTACTACATACTACATATAGTAATACTGGAATACTTTTCTAAATATAACCTAGTAAGGTTATATTTAGAAAAATTATATGAAGTGTAAATAGTCTTACTCTTGTATTTTCCTGTTGTGATTTCTTAACAATCGTAACGCCGGAGGTTTCCGATCTACGGCGTAGCTCGACAGTAGGTTACACGCGCCTACGGCGTAGAAGTCTTTTCTTTGCTATTTGGGGTGGTTATTCCAGACTCTTTTAATATTTTTATAATAAATTAAAGTTATTTAGAATAAAATAAATGACAACACTATTATTCCACATTATACTGATTTCATAATTTAATGTTGTGAAATATTCTCGTATCCCTGAAATATGCAATAATGAACATATCAATGCTTCAATTTCTTTCAATAGTAAACGGATAGCGATTCCTGAATCTAAACAACAGTCAATCAGGGGAGATTACACAATATCGCTATTTTCAGATATTAAACAATTATACCTCACCGCACTTTTAAATTTCACCTTTATTCACTTTGTTTATGGCTTCGAGCGATACGAAAAGCCACAACCTCCAATGTTTTATAAATTCATAAAAATTCATGTTTAAAAGTCATAAATATCTCTTTGACTTCACAGTAACCTTTCGGAATATTTCGATTGTATTTTAGTTTTTCTTAAAGAGTTTTTTTGACATGACTTATAGAAGTTTTTTTGATTTACAAAAAGTATTTCTGATAGGACTCAGAAATACCTTTTGTAAATCCTTTATGGCTTAAATAACCAAATTTCTTAATGTGTCACGCCACAATAGGCTGATAACGTATTATTCAGATGTTATAATATCTTAGTATATGAGAAGCTATTATACGCATTAGGTAAAGCTTAAATAATTAATGTTACAAAAAAAATCTGTCAATTCACAGCAAAAATAATATTAAAATTTACATTAATTATATCGTAATTTTGTACCAAATAATAGAGATATTTTATTTAATATTTTTCTAAGTAACC